TCTTGTAATTAAATTACATCATGCATAATCTTTAAAGTCGGCGGGGGCTTAACTTTATCAATATAATCAGTCTGCTACGGTCCCTTGGGTCGGGAATAAACCTGTTCACAGGCAGTTTCTTCCTTAAAATCGTTACGCTAGAGAAATGATTTTTGATCTGCTTTGTATCATACTTTGATCCCACGGTATGCTGATTTTATTATTCTATTTATAATCTTAAATCTGTTAACGACTTTGTGGAATTAAGCTTAGCACTCCACCCTCCTCATTTTCCTTTCACTCAGATGGAGAAGAAAGCCCTGTAAATGCCCCTTTTTACGCCGGATGTGACACAATATATAGGTTTTACACGGCCCGTCGAGGGAATATGAGTAAAGGGAGTCCATTCAACGTTCACTTTACAGTACGTTGTGTAAATGAAAGAAGTCTTAATTCGGGCAACTCGATCAGGTCAATTAGATTTGAAGAGACGCCGCGCCCTCCGGAGTTAAAGGTTAACAATGTTGTAACTATCATTTGCTTTAGCCAAATCCAATCAATTATCATCGTAAGTCTGAAGCCTCAGAGAGTGGGCAGCCAATAAAACTGACTGACATTTAAATACGAGATAAATTAATTTCTTCTTCGAGCTAAATTCGTGTCGAGTTCAAGCCAGCTGCTCCCTCAATTTGTGTATTGAGGACCAAATGATTCATTATGCAATTTAGTTTTAAATAAACATTTCAACTAGGACACAAATCAAGAATGTTAGATTTAGGAATAAATAAGTTAATGTAAGGGAAATCTTCATTTAATGTGACTAATTATGTATAATTAATTAAAAACACAGTCACTTGCATAATAATTTATTCTCAACTTCTCTTAATATTTACTTGATAATATGTAAGTAACACAAATTGGAAAGTAAAGATGATAATAATAATATAAGTATTCTAAGTAATCATTTTAATTGAATATAGTAGGTTATCACCGTATTTAAAGCTAAAAATTTCTAATGAAGCTAAAGTCTATTTAAATAAATCAAGTTACGTAAATTACATGCACAATGCACACCAAACAAAAGAACATTCAATATTATTAATAAACATTTATAATTTATTAATTGTTTTTGAATAACTTCAAATATTATTTAAAAATTCGATGAAAGTTTATAATATAAATGTGTAACGTTAACGCAAAGCTAAAAATATTATTACACAATGAAAGAATTTATAAATAGTCAATATTATTGTTAAACATGAATCATCGTTTTTGATATACCGTATACATAAAAAATGAATTTCGTTTTATTTTTAAATGATATGTAAATGTAAACATCTCAATGAAGTAAATAATTGGATTTACATTAAGTTATGAAATTGAATACGTACTGTTCTTTCGGGCTGTGTATCCCGAGGATAACGTTCAAAATTAAATATAATAATTTCGAGGAAAAGTGGAAAAAGAAACAACATTAAACGTATCAGTTAGATCTAAATGATTATACATTGTCTCACGAAATTTGTTCCAGGAGAATCGGACTACCTGTATAAAAGCGTCCGTGATAAAAATCGACTTGATTATGTGAACGTATATTTTATACCTGTTCGGTGGTGTTCATTAAAAAAAATATGGCAACGCATGCAACTTCGTGCATTTTAATGAATGTCACTTCGTAAGAGCACAAGAGACGTCACCGAGATGAAATTTAATATAATTGTTTAACTTGTAATTCATTAGTTGGACATTTCGTAATTAATTAACCAACCGCCGTTTAATCAGAGAAATGACACGATTATTCGCAATATATCAAAAAAACAATTGTTATTACAAAACACCAAAATCATTTCATTCGATTTTTGAGCAGAGCTTTCGAGATGGTTTCATTAAATGGAATTTATTTGAATCGATAACACGGAAACAATTAGTGTCTACATTTTGTTTGGGGCAAAACCAGTTTAAAATTAATATCCACCCCATTTTGGTATACAGCGTGCAGCATGTCCTCCGGCCCAGCATTCGTGTCATCTTTATTCATGAGCATATTAATTGCAGTTAAAGCAAAGAAACGGTTTCCTATTGATTTTATTAAATAAATTCTAATATTATTAATATGTATCTCGGCTTATTAAGTGCAATATACAAAGAAAACCAGTGTACGCTTTTTCCTTCACTATCTCTGCTCTCTCTTCATCCTCCTTTAACACCGACATCAATTAAGTAGAGAAATTTCTACGGTTTCTGCTGCAAGCATTGAATGCAAGGAAACCGCGACTCGAGTAAGCGAGAGAGGTCAAAGACCATCTATTCATTTACAACGTTTTATTTCTGCTAATTGTTTTTTCTTTCTTTCTTTATTCGCAATAAAGCGAATGGACAAACGAAGCAATCATAAAAGTAGTGCATTATATTAAAACATACCAGACTTATATATATATACACCAATTGCCAAGTTAATAATCTTCCAATCATGGAAAATATTGATTCTCCAGGAATTACTTCTCCCTTATCGCATTTCATAAAGTTTATAAAACAATATTTGATACGATTTTTATGATTTGAATTAAAAATGTGTATGCATTTATTATTTATAAACAATATAAAATAGTATTCAAAATTTTAAAATTATTATTTGATAATTAACCTGGTAATTAGAAATTATAAAAGTATATCAAATAATGTTAGTTGAATTAAAAAAAATAATTAAAATTCAGATAATTAGTTATAGCATTATGTCTTGCTTTTTTCATTTATATGAAAACAAAATAATTTTCTGATATTTTATTTAATATATTATGTTTATAATATTTTAAGTGACTACATTAGTTTTTTGTTTGCTTTTTTTCTATTTTGGAATAACAAGAACTCGTGACCAAAGATTAGTTAACATATTAATAATATCAACAAGTAATAACATAAATATTTTAGTTGAATTTACATCAAATCAAGTATTGATACTAAAAAATGTATGTTTGTTGAATATTGTATAAAATTACACTTTCCATAAATGACAATTCATTACATTCTTATAAAAACCACCATTATGTTAAATTGGTTTGAATGTTATAGTATTGTTGAACAATTGAATATATAAAGATATTTAATAAAGTTTTCTTTTCTGAAAAACGTGTATTAAAAATATAATGTTAACGTTTCTTAATTTTCACACACATATCTTCCGAGAGCGAGTGAAAATGCTCTTCTATTTTCCTCTGCGTTTCACTGCTCTCCTCTTGTTCATTAAATTTTCATTTTAAATGCTTCAAAGAAAACAACAAAGGAATTGTATTGAAATTACCTCCAGTGTAATTTAAAGTACACGCAGTAAGAAAAAGCGTACACATGCGCACCTAACAGTGTATATATATTTTATTAAATAAAATTCTGGAGATTTATATGTTTCAATTTCCGAGTAAAGCAGTTACGTAAAATTGCACACACCATTCCATCGCTCAAGCAAGTGAAGAAAAAAAACATAATGCCCTAAAAGAGGGAGATAGCGAAAAAGGAAAAAACATATCCCTAAATGCCAATCTCAATTACCATCAATATATCATTACGCAAGAACCGGAGATACGTATCCGAATTGATATTAAAAATAGAACTGGTATAATTATTGCACCAAAAATGTTCTTCAATCTAGTCTTCACTAGAATCAAAATTACGCAATTGCGTCATATCCGTAAGTTCTTCAAGCTCGGCGTCAATTAATGGTACAGGGAGTTTATTTAATTACGCCTTATGAAGCGGAAAGGAGTTAATTAAATATGTAGACATGGGATCAGAGGTGTACGTAGTTAGTATACATTCTCAAATCACAACTTTGCTCTATGACTTTTACGAACAGAGAAGATTAGAAAGTTAATAATAAAAATATCAGTTCTTCGATCATGCTTAAATCCTTTGACGTAGGTGGGACAATGCAAAAATAAAAGAAAAAGTAAGTACAGAAGCAGACACAGAAATCGATTTAAATGCAATTATTTGGAATCGTGAAATTTCACGTCTAGACGTAATTAATTAGCAGCGTGTTTTCTAGCAGGAAATAAGTAGATTTTAATTTCACTTCTGGCAAGTGAAAAGAACGAGGACTTTGTTTTAGGTATATTTCTCTTCCACTATGGTACGTCGCCGATGCATTGCCATACATATTTAATGATCCACGCCGAGGCGGGAATATTTTTGAATAATAATACGGAAACGGATGTCGGCTGAATGAAGACAAAAAAAAATGTTACGTGGACACACACTAGTTTTAAATTCCTTTTTTTATTTCGTTCCTATTTTTCTTTTCTCCATTTTTTTTTGGTGCAACATTTTGCGACACAATGATGATACCATCAGAAAATTGTGCATATGATATCGATAAATGAAATCGAGCCGTGTAATCAAAGAAAAAAAATAATATGTGCGATTCGGTTCATCGGCATAAGTTTATGCCGATATTTGATATCGAGGCGAATGACCTTGTGCATATTCAGTATACGAGAGGGTTAACTAATTATGGCAGTTTATAATATAGAGATTTAGTTCAAGTAACGGTAGATTTCTTGGCGTCTTGCATCGCGAAGTAGATATCCGCGAAACGAGATGCGGATTCGTGTTTTATATATATATATATCGTATAGGATGCTAGAATACACACACATATAAAAACACATAATATTTTTATGATTATTTCCATGTTTTAAACCCAACTTTTAGACGTGGAACTCAACTGTTTTCGTCGGTGGAAACTGGTTTTGAATGTGTGTATATATATACGTATATTTTTTCTCTCCTGAACTAACTACAAAATAAATATACAAGAGTGCCACGTCGAAGGAGACGAAGAAGAGAGTCGGTGTTTAAAGAATTTTCCACACTTACGAACGCACGCATACACGTACACACAACATATAAAAAACATGCAAAGAGAGCTCTTCGCAGATAAATGCACACAACAGGCAATTTTATATAAATTCGTAATTAGAAAGTCGGAAAAGTAGTTTAGATGAATGCAATTCGAATGAAGGTTTTACCTGATAATCCTCGGATGTCGGCTAGGACGAGAGTTGCGGTCCAATATAGGAAAAGAACGGAGAATACTGACCCCAAGTAGCTGGGGCCACCCCGCATACACTTCATCTTATCACTCAAATCACAGTATTCCTACACAATATCTATGTATCTCTAGATAGGCATTACTCTAGTTGTAATAATTATATCTATCTATAAATGTATGTACTAGACAAAGTCAGAGGGAACTAAATACACATCACACGGCTCGGTGAGCACAACTAGTTTTAGGTAGAGTCTAAGAAGAGTATGATGATGTTGATGTATCCACAGGTAATTATACTCGAGTCCGTAGTTTACGTAGTACGTACGGTCTGTCTCGCAGTTGTCGGGACACGAAGGAGCTTTCAACGCGGTCGCCGCTCGCAGACTGAGCGATGCGTGCTTCGACGGTTGCCAGATAATAGAAACTTATTGGTGGCGCTTTGAACGGCGCGCTCAGGTGGTTTACGCTACACCTGGCCAGGTAGAATATTCTCCGGGGAAGGAAGGCTGCTCGATACGAAAAATGCTATTATGATACTACCTGTTACGGATTACTCTTCTCCATTGTATTCACTACGACACACCACACACACACAGACGTGTACAGACAGGGCTTCTTATCCAAGCACAAATCCGTCATTTACCTGCCATTTACTGTTTATCATCAACCATTATACAAAGTCAAATATTTATCAAACATTCTTAACAAAGAAGAATAGAAATCACTTGTCTTTCTGATAAAAAGTAATCTACAAAGTAAATGTAATATTAGATTTATTATTTTTTTTTTAAATTAACGATATAATTAACATTATACAATTGCAATTTCTCCATATAAATGACCATATTATTAATATAAAAATATGCTATTATAGTGCCACTTGCTACTTATTCCTTATCACAAACCATCCATAGTCAAATATTTAATCATTTTTTGTGAAAAATGTGAAAATTACTTTTTTTCTCATAAACAAATAATCTACAATTTTATTTTTTAGGATCTTTTAAAATTACTAATAAAACACTATAAATACTATCATTTTTCATTATAAATGAGACTATACTATTTGTAAAAAATGCTATTTGCATACTACCTCCAATTTAAGAAACATTCTTCACAGAGAATAATAGAAAATTGATAAAAAATTCTACATTATAAGTAAATGGAATAATGACTTTCATTTTAGAGTTTTTTTTTAATATTTATCATCGACCATTATCGAAGTCAAATATTTAATATACATTTTTTTCCTAAAAATCACTTGTTTTTTTTTGATAATAATTTATTTTCTTGAGGAACTTTTTCATAAAACTTCAGTTTGTTTGGTCATGAGTATTGTAAGAAAGGCTTATTACGTAAGCCTTCATCCAGCAAAGTTTTATTCCATTTATCACTAGTTAACAAAAACTAAATATCCTAAAAAATATATCAGTGGTTGCATGCAAATATCGTTATACATATAATATTATATTATGAAACTACATTAATTTTAAATTGCAACTTTCATTCATTTAGTATATGTGTGTATATAAAAATAAATGATTTGAACCTATTAAATTCTTTAGACTACAAATTTTGTATATTAATTTAAGTTTAAAATAACTAGACTTTCTTATGTTTTTTTTTAATCTCATATTTTTTTTGTAAGAATTATTTATTTAATGTTATGTTATTAAAGGATATGTGACATATATTATTGTATAAGCGATTATATTATATTGTGTGGAAATTTTTAAATAAAGCATCAAATTGTTATTTCATTTTGGAATTTACATTAAAAATTTTAAATTCGTAAAAAAAATATAGCTGTCATCATAATTGTAATTTTCAGCATTTGCATGGTTATCATAAAAAAGAACATAAAAATAGTTTTTAATTCAACATATCATTGGATTTTCCATCATGTTTACGTGTCAGAGAGTCAAATAAATTCTTAGAAAAGGAATTATGCAAATTTATATTATATTAACTGTTTGCAGTCAATGCGGTTTGCTAAAAACAATCCTTATTCTATGAATATATAATTGATCAAGTAGCTGTCAGATCACTTTTAATTCTATTTTTTTTAACGAATTTGAATACGCTTTTTATTTTAATATAATTTTAATTCTTGTAATTCTTGTAAATATTGTATTATTATGAGATTTGTGAAATATTCAATTATGCTCAAAAGTTTTGGGTCCTACTCATAATAATTTGTCACCAAACATTTCTCCACTTCAAAATAATAATGTTGTATTAGGGCTGTCTAGGTAAAATAATAAAAATTGTATATATTGTAAGTATATATTTACAAAAGCTTAGTAGTTTTCTCAATTTCTGGCTATGAGCCACAAGGTTCTTGAAAAATAATATATAGCTTAAGGAACACAAAAAAATATTTTCTTAATATATTCGTAGAAATGTTTTATTTTCATGTATATAGTATAAATACGACAATGCGTGCTATGCCGAAAAAAATATTTAAAAGAATATATGTATAACGTTTATTCAAAGAGAATTATATATACAATGAAACCTCGCATAACGAGCATTTCGCGTAACGAGTAAAATAAGTTGTTAGAAAAATGACACATTTAACGAGCGATGTTTCGTATAAAGAGTGAACAGAAAAAAGTCTCAGATTGTGCGCCTGTTACATCATTTTCAAAACTTGTAATATTTTTGTGCAAAATATAATAATAATAAAAAGCCAAAGAATAAAAATAAACATAGATATGAAAAGCAAAATCATTAAATAGACCAAGTTTTACTTTCTTTTCTGGAATAGAACGCATTATTGTATTATAAATTAATTTATATGGGGAAAATAGTTTCATTATACGAGTATTATAAGTAAAAATCCGGAAATTTTGGAACGGATTATGCTCGTTAAGGGAGGTTCCACTGTAATTTATTATTAGTTTGTGAATTCTCTTGTTGGCTGTATTCTTGCGGCTATTTCTTCGGAGAAACTCTGTTATAAAAAACACACACATAATATGTCAAGTTTAGAAAATTATGTAGCACGCGCACAATCCGGATTTTTCCTTCTATTCGTTACTCGTTATGCGAAACGTTCGTCGTTAAACGAGGATTCACTGTATTTGGAATTATTATTTTAAGTGAGGCTAATTCAGTTTTTCTATAAATATAATATTTTTTACAAAAAACTTCAAATATCAGTTTCTCATTTTTTAATATATTTTTTTTATGTCGTGTAATTTTATTCACAATATGTTCATCAATATGAACATTGAGTAGATTCTGCTGCTATTCTTAACACTGTCATAGTCCATTGACTTGACTGAAGGTCCATATGCTGAATCTCATTAATTTCACTGTCCATCTGTGATGAACGATGGCCCTATTGCTGCAAGCACTGAGAGGGCTTTCAAGGGCCTGGCTTGACCAGGATTCGAACCTGCGCTCACTAGCTCGTGGGAAGCGCGACTTAGCCATTCGGCAATTAGTCGCCCTATTTTTGAATATGCGACAAATAAAATTAATATTGTTTGTAATATTTGACAAATGTTTTTTTGATGATTTAGTAATTAATTTGAATTAGAAGTGCTACTACGTTTTCTAATAGAATATATTATAAAACTTTAAATGTTATTATAACGCCAATCATTTATATTAATCATGGGTTATTTATCAGATATAAATATTCCTATTTTTATTAAATACAGTATTCGGTAAGAAACATAAAAAAAATATAACAAAAAAATAAATTAAATGCATTTATATAAAACTAGCACATTGAAGTATGAACGACATTTTGATTTTTTACTATTTTAGGTTGAATGTAATGATTCTTAGTATAACTTAGTATAAATACATCTTTATGGGACTTTTGTAATTTTTCTAAGAGTTTTAAAATAAATATAACCAACCAAATTAGTTCAGGTCACAAATAATTATTTTCTAATGAATATGCACAGTCAACTGTATGAATAAGACAATAAGACTTTCCATACATAAATGGACACTTAGTTTTAGATTTTTATTTCAAAATATGTTATTAACAATACTAGCTTTCGATTAGCAGTAAAAAGTAATGGTACTAAGAATTGTAAAAAAAAGTATACTTAAAATAACATGCAATTTAAATACTTTTTATTTTTTTTAAATTTTTATTTTAAAAGGTATACAAGCGGCTCTCAATTTACGCGGTAATATTTTTACGCGTAAATTAGAACTGTATTTAGGCGGATTTAATTTACGAGACCAGAAAATATAAATAAAAAATCATCATTAATAATATGATTACATTAATAATAAAAATGAAGTAAACTTCTAAATATCCCAAGCGATGTTGAGAATGAGTTTGTGACAATAAAAGAAAATTTCCTGTAATTTTCTGGAATGTTATTATTGTATGCAATAAATATGTATTTCCAAAACTTACTTACAATAACTTTTATTTTGTACTTACAGACTTTATTTATATGATTTTCATTCGCGTAAAAAATATCCACATGATCCCGAAAATCACGGAAATTCAGGGACGAAAAAAAGTAGAATTATTTAAGAATAAGATAATAGACCATGTATATTCATGTTTAAAATATCCTTTTTCGATCACATTGCTGATAAAGTGGTTTGCAAATTCTTTTTAAACCCCTTTTTTGTATAAACCTTATGAGCAGAGTCTATGATTTTTTTTACAGCAAATCAAAAGAGGCACAGAAAACCTCTATTACTTCATGCTAGAATTTACGCAAGTTGTGATGAATATCATATCACAGGTTCATACAATTTCATCTTTAATTAAGGAAATATCCCATTTGACGAAAACCGTGTTATTTCCAAATCGTCTAAAAACAGGTTTGAGTGTACGTGTTATATCAACAGAATTCTCTCGCGGACCAACGATTGGCGACCGCTGTAGTATACGAAGGTTATAGCAATTTTTGACCGTTCTGTCAGGTACCGTCCTGTAATGTGTACAGGCGTTAATATTTATATTTTTTGTTTTGTAGAATGTCCATGACGCATGGTTACTGAACTGTACCGATTGGGTGGGTGGCCGGATCAACGTGTGTATATGTCTGTTTATAATTACATCGGCCCAAGTTGACAATTGAGAAAAGGAGGTTACAAAATTCAAATAGCATATATTTCGAGCCAAAATAAACACACATTTAAACAAACACAAAGCAACTTTATTGTCGCTTTTATTAAAATATGCTCCATTTAAACGCGGTCAACGTTCCCACTTCTTTCCCACAAACAACATCTTAATATATCAATTCAAAAAGTAATATATATTTCCTCTTTTAACCTTTAACTACTTGCTTCTACTGAAATTTCACTACTCGCGCGGTGTATTTTATGATTGTGTTACTACAAGAAAAAAGTTTTCATGATAACTAATGCTTTTTCATTAGA